AATGATAAAGACGAGAACAAATTATTCCCATAAACAACCTCAATATTTCAACGTAGAATTTTGTTCACAATGTTTTTGGCGGCCCGAATGAATTGCACGACCCATGATGCTTTGAAGATGGTTTGATGTTAAAGGATGTACATGCAAACACTCAGGCACTCAAATTAGTAGACACCGAAGGTAAGAGACATCCAAAAGCTTAGTTATGTCTTTATTACACATGCATCGACACATACTAGAGCACAATAGATTTTTTCTCCATAATTTTTCATTAGTAATTGTTATTTCTTTGTATATGTGATTGACATTATGTTTGGTAAGACGAATTTAATAAAAACATGTTGAATATATATATTCTATCAGCTAACGCAACATGTCGAATAAGATGTCCCAACCAGAAGTATAGGATATCGTATTTTTGTACAACTGGAATGTTAGTTATCTTTAGTTGTTACAGGTGCAGAATATTCTGGATATATTATGCTATCCCATGTGACGCGCAAACTGAAGATTTAAAAAGATTCTAGTTGGATACAAAGAATATTATTAGTTTTTAAATTAGGAGAAATTTAGGAAACTAATGATTGAAGCCCTAATGTATGCAGAAGATTCTGCTGAGTTTTAGCAGCTAATTTGTTGCGATTGAAAAACCCAAATCCAATCCAGAGGATGACTTTAAATAGAATGTCACTAACCTAGTTTAGTGTGGAACTTACTTTGTATTTTGATTAGGGTTTGTGTGCTTATTGTGAGCCTCTCGATTATCATATTGATAAAAGAGTAGGATCATTTTATTAAGTTGTAAGTTTTGTCAATCATTCCAAAGCTTTGAAGCCTTGAATGAATATGTGTCTTTGAAGTGTGACTTCAGTATTTGTTTTAAGTGTTTAGAATTGGCCGATCACTGCGATTGTGATTGAAAAAGATTTGAGAAGGGTCTCATATTTAAGTGAGTCTTAGGTAGAAGTTAAGAACGAGTAGTGATTAAGTGAGTAAATTATAAACTATGTGGAAGTTTGTTGTTGATCTACGAATTGATACTATCAAGTTTAACTTGGCCCATAACTTGGAAGCCCCTAGAGTAGGTGTGTGTCATCGAACTGAGTTAATAATTTGTGTGTTCTTTACCTTTTTGCACCATGTTTATCGTTCATATTGTTCATTATGTGCAAGTTTAGTAAAAAATATCTCGACATCTTTTAAGACATCTTTGATCTGAATACCATAATTTCAGTAACATATAGTAAGAATGAACACTAATGTTGTGTTTGGATATTTTATAACGAACTGTAATAAAATGAACTGAACATAGTAGACTAGAGATTTTTCTCATTATTTTAATATTTTAAGACAAAATAAAAATATTTTCTCATTCCATCTAAATCAAAAGGCAAAAAATGACGATAACGGATGAAATGAAATGTAATAGATACCATTCAATTCTACTGCACTCTATTCAATTTTAACTAATTAAAAAAAAGATATCCAGTCGAATTATAAGGTCATGTTTGAGTGGACGTAACATAATAGAATGGAGTAAAATGGAATGTGATAGAGCAAACTGAAATGAAATATATATCTCATTCCACTATTTAATTATATTCTTAAAAATATCTCATTCTATCACACACCATAAAATAAGTAGAATAAAAAAAATAATAATTGAATGGAATGTATTCCATCATGTTTCATGTTCTATCTATTATTTACAAATGTAAATAATAAAATCTCATTAATTGTTACTCAATTCTATTTCACTCCATCGGATACCATTCATCCAAACATATTTTATGGATCTATTTGCAAATTTATTTTCAAACCATTTTGAAGTGGAAGACTTTGGAAAACTACATTTATATTTGTATATGTATTCGATATTAAAACAATTTAAAAGAATATGATAATATATTAATGTATCATGTTTTTTTAATAATTTTTTAAAAATATTAAATATATACAAAAATATAGACATAATCCTCTAACCCATTTCTCTCAAAACCTTTGAATTGAAAAAAATTCCAAGTTCGGATTTAAATTAAAGAATTAACTACATTTTTGAAAGAGCTTTTACCAATAAAATCGTCAATTTATTTTTCTTTCTTCTCTTCTATTTTCCTTCCTCATATCCTCACAAACCAAACATAGCTAAAATTACAACTCTCTAAACCTTTTTCCATCTCTAAACTCTTTCACCCAAAATTTCATCAATATTCCTCCACCCTTTTCACCGGCGGCGGCACCGCCACCCACCACCACCACCACCACCACCACCACCATCACCACTCCCCTCGGTTTATCAATGTTCTATTCTTTACTCAAGACTTAAACATCATAGTTATTAAGGTAACTAATTTTAAAAATTCATTTTAGGGTTTTGTGAATTTTGTTTTTCCATTTTTCAAATTTGTAATTTTAGAGATTAGAAAAATAATTGTTAGAAATGATTAGTATTGTGAGTTAACATTTTGTTTTTTTATTACAATTTGAATTGTAAAGTACCCCATTGTTTGTGAATGTGCTATTTAACTACAATATTGATTTTGTTGCTTTCACTAAAATATTGATTTTGTTGCTACTGTGAAGTGAAGTCCTTCAACTATAAAATTGGTTTTGTAACTTTTTTTTTGTTGCTTAATGTGAAGTTCTTTGACTTCAATATATTGAATAATTAGTAGGGTTTAACCAAGGTTTTATTCATTCCAATTCCAATCCATATAAATCATAGAATCTCCAATTATTTTCATTTTTTTTTCCTATCTTTTTTCAGGTACTTAAATGGAGGAGTTATCAAAAAACCAGATTTTCGCTGTTCACGGGATTGCCGGTGCTGGGTCAATAGCTTTAGCCACAGCTTTCACCTATCCTCTTGATACAATCAAAGTCCTCATTCAGGTTCTAACTTTTTCAACTTTTTGTAATTAGCCACTACCAATTTGATTATGCTTATACCAATGTTTTGCTTGTTGATTCATAGGTTGGTTCTAGTGCTGGTAAAGAATTGAATGCTAACCAGGTTGTTACAAGGGTAATCTCTGTGTCTGGTAATGCAGGTATGTGTTTTTGTTTAAATTTTATGAGGGGGCATACCAATTGAATGATGAATTGTCCGAGAGACTAGAATTAATTTAACTGTGTATATAGTATCATTTCTACTTGCATCGTGGATACTATGGGTGTTTTAGACTGGACCGAACTATGTTTCACTCTTTATCGGCATGTATTTGTAGGCATTAATTTCAAAGATTCTTGAGTAGACTTGATATGCTAACTAAATTTATGCTCCTATTGGCTCAGTGAATTAAAATTATTATGTATTCTAAGTTCTAACTCTGGTGTCTTTGTTGCATTTGGGTGTTTAAGGTATGTTCGCCGGACTTGGTTGGTTGGCATTTGGGAGGGTTTTTGGTCTAGGAGCACGGTTTGGGGTTTATGAAATCTTGACAGCCGTTTGTAAAGGTATGTTCTTTTTAATCGGCTTTTAGTTCTTGTGTGTGATTAACATTCCTTTTTTCTTCATTTTTCTCATATATATGAATAAAAGAAAATAATACTACTCTCTTTTAGACGAGACTGACATGTTTATCTTCGTCTCAGTCATTCAAGATTGAAGTTTTGATATCATCTATGTGTGTTGTGTAGCAATTTCTGATTTTAGATGCCTTTTGATTGTTTGACCCTAAAGTCATGTATGCTTGTTTTTTCCCCAATATCTTTTTGTACTTTGTTATTCATGAATTACAACATATGGTGTTTTTTTGGGGTGAGTGTGACTGACTTGGGTGCTCATGAGTACACTTTTGGCAGATGGTCGGGAAGATAATTATGTCACTGCTTCTGAGGCTCTTTTGGCTGGCATGGTTGCCGGTGCCACAGAGACATTTATAAGCTCTCCATTTGAACTCATTAAGCTTCGTGTCCAGGTTGCCTCCGCTTCATATGTTACTAGCTCTAACTTTGCTTTGGAAGAGGGAGCTCGCAAACCGCTAATTGCAAGATTGCTCAATGGCTGCTATCCAGACAAGAAGTCTTTGAATCAATATGTTGGTCTCATGTCAACCCTAACAACCAAGAACACCAACATAACAGGTGCTTTACTTGAGCATCCATGGGCAATGACAGGATCTGGGAGGCCACCATCAGTTTGCAATGTGAAAAGGCCATCAGATATTATATCTTTGGAAGGATGGAGCACATTATGGAGAGGTCTCCGTTCTGGAATAGTTCGAGATTCTGTCTTTGGTGGTGTATTTTTTTCAAGTTGGCAATTTTTGCACCAAGCAATGCTTGATTGGAAGGCTGTAGGAATGAATCCTCCACCCAGGTTCATCTCTAATTCATTAATCAAGGAACATCACTTTTGAATCATTCTTCTTTATATTGTATTTAGGGCATGTTTTTAGGAAAAATAGCTTTATGCCTTTATGAAAAAATTCTAATTGGTGAGTGGTCAAACTAAAACTGACAACAACTAAGCCTTATCCTACTAAGAGGGGTCGGCTACATGGATCAAACGTCGCCGTAATATTCTATCATATCTCATATCTATCCAACTCATTATTCTCTAGATATTTTTTCTCTTATAGTTTTTTAGAAATGCTAAACTAACACAAAAAGAAACATCAATGCCGTATGAAATATGGTTGTTATGATTTTTTTTCCTACATCTTGAAATACATACACAAACTGAGTTGCTCACAATTGCAAATGATACTATACGGCGTCTTTCTGGAGGTGTTTACTTTTGTGTTTCCTTAACAGGGCTCTAGTTTTTCTAGGTCTTCCTTTGCCTCTAGGATTGTGACTACTCTTCATTTGATCTACTCTCAATACAAAATGTGAAGGTACTCTACATGTCCAAACCACCTATCCTGGGTTCACTTACAACATCTTGGGTTTTACAGTTGTAGGGTAAATTTTCCCTTCCTGCTTGAGTAGTACTTTTGTATCACATAAAATGCCTGAAGTCCTCCACCATTTCTTCATTTACCTGCCTGAATTCGACGATTCACATATCCTATTTCTGTCATTTTGTACTATGGACCCAAAACTTTAAACCTGTTTAACTTGTGGTATGTCATGATCTCTAACATGCACCTCTAAGCTAGAAATATTTTGTCCTTTGCTAAAATTGCATTCCATATATCTGTCTTTGCTTCTACTCAGGCAGAAACTATGCGCTTCTAAGGCTTGTCTCCAAGTCTCCAACCTCCCATTCAATTCCTCCCGCGACTCTCCAAGATGGACTAAAACTAAAAAGGTTCTTCAATAACATTTCGTCCATATTCTCCTATTTTTATTCTCTTTGTACATGAAGTTGAGCCTTACACTATGTTTGGTTGGTGGAAAAAAGTTGAAGGAAAGAAAGTGAAAAGAAAAAACATAAAAGGAAAGAATGAGAATAGAAAGTGAGATGAATTGTTTAGTTGTTTGGTATGATAGAAAATAAAAGGAAAGAAAGATAAAAGTTTCTAGAAAGTAAGAAAAAATAAAAAATAAATATTTATAAAATGACAAAGATGTCCTTAAACATTAAGTTTAATATAATAATAAAAAAATAGACATTCTAATTAATCTATTAAATAAATATTGAAAAAAAATATTTAAAAAACAAACAAAACAAGTACTAGGACATTTTGATTTATATCGGTTAATTTTGCAATAATAGCTTAAAGATGCATAGTAATACAAAAGTTTACAAGAACATGTCAAATCGAAATTGTTAAATAAAACTAAGGGTAAATTTGTATTTTCAATTAATTTTGATACACATCCAATTTCCTTCTCATTTTGGCGAGGAAAACTTGTTCATGTGGGACCCCGCAAAATTTAATCCTGCCTTTAACTTTTTGAGAGAACCAAAGGAAGGAAGGATATCGTTTTCAGCACTTTCTCTCCTTGCACAATCAGTCCTTCTACATTCTTTTGAAACAAACATACCATTAGTGCTAAGGTTAGAATTACTACTGCCATATGATTGGGAGCTCACGTTTCAATTGTGAGTTCAGCCTCTTGCAAATGAATATTAAGGTTGCCTATGGCTATAATCATTCATAATAGATACAACTTTTGCTTGGACCTCACCATGGCTGGAGCATTTATTGTCAAGTTTTACAGTTGACAATTGTTTTCTTTGTTCTTAGATTGAGTTGCGATAACCTTAAAGCCTTATAAGTATGATGGCTGATGTTCATTTTGAGGCCCTGTTCAGTAAACTATGAATAGGGTTGATGTGCTGCTTTTTAAGTGGATGCGTATCCTCCGATCCTGCACTTCCAATTAAATTAATCTTCTGCAGCAATCATACTGATACAAATGAGCTAAATTATGTGTTTGTCTGGGGTTTAGTGTTATTCTCACTGTAATTTTGGTCTATGATAAGGTATGGTAACTGTTGGATACATGATAAATTAAGTTATATTTTATCTTCTACTAGTGCTTTTAGACTAATAATCACTTCAACTGCAAATGAGTTAAATTTTCCTTTTTTTGTTTATGAGGGCTCGTCTTGACTCAGGTTAAATGAAGAAGTTGGTCAGTTGTCTCCTTGGGCCGTCAGTCTTGCTGCTGGATTTTCTGGTTCAGTTGCTGCCGCTGCTTCTCATGGTTTTGATACTGCTAGAAGTAGATCACAATGTACTGTGCTTCCAAAGGTATGAACCTTGCTACTTGTTGATAAAAAGTTTGAAATTCTTGTGTTAATAGATTTTTTTGTTTTGTTTTGATTACCCTTACATGACAAATTACGCCTTTGTTATTAGAAAAAAGGATAAGGTTGTGTTTAATTATATTCGATACATTGATTTAGATATACAACAGTAATTTTTGAATATTCTATGCGCTAAGAATTACTCTTATTTTTTAAACTAAGTAGCAACTTTTATTTGAAGTACAAACATAGTACAATGGATAGGGAGGCTAAGATAGTCTCTTTACACTAAATTAAACACATACACAACTTAAATAAATAGTCTCTTTAAGGGTGAATCTCTCTGGATTTCAATCAAGGAGAAATGCTGAATATCTCTAAAATTATCCTGTCCCAAGTTAGGTTCATGATCAAAACTTTAATCTATAAATTCCAAAAATTCAGCATGTTATTTACCGTCGATTAAAATTTTCTGGTTAAGAGCGATAGGATGGAGCCATTTTTATTTCTAGAGATGATTCTCTCTACTTTGATAGTACGGAAAATACTTAATAGAAATTCTGGTATGTATTTGACAGAGTAGACTAAAAACAAGGATGAATCCCTGTTACAAGCTAGTATAATGACTGTAATAGAAACTAGATTACGATTGGAGCAAGTCCTGCAGTTATGCCTTTCATTTCTCTGCATTACTTCCCTTCAGCTAATTTTCCACTTTTCTTCCTGTCATAAACCAGCAGGCCTTTTGCTCAAAAAAAAAAAACCCAGCAGGCCTTGTCTCATAGGCCCATTTAATCCCTCTTCTATATCTCCAGCCCCATCCTTCCCTTTTTTTTTCAATGTACTTGCTTAATGGGCCTATCATACTCTTTAGGCCTATCAAACAGTTCTAGGATATCCTCTTTTCCCGATGGCCTTCACTTTTTATAATTTCTCACCCGCTGCCTAGAAGTTTAGTACCGATCTGGTTGATAGTATCATGCTGTAAAACTAAAGACGGTGTGCAAAATGTTTGAATGGTGTCCAATTAACTAAATTAAGCATGATTCATTGGTGGGTTAGATTAGTGTCTCTTTTTATTCGCATAATCGACCCTTAATTGACATTATCGATTTTTTTCCCTTCTGTTTAGGGTTACAAAGGCGTATTTGTGGCAACCATTGATTATTAACTTTAAGTTTAGATGCTTAGCTCTTGATGATGTCATCTCATATATTGAATATCATCTCAATTAAGTAAAAAAATAAATTATTTCTTATGTTTTGAAATTCCAACCAATATCCGATAGTACTAATTTATACATTCTGTGGTCCCCCAGTATGTGTCAATGGAGAGAAAGCTACTAAAATGGAAACGACCAGGAAACAAATTTGAAAGATTTACTGGAATCCATCCTTCTGACAGAAGTGTCTTGTTCCGTGGCCTCGGGTTGCGGATGGCCCGCTCTGGTATTGCATCGTTCATGATTGTAGGAAGTTATTTATTCGCTGTTGATCATCTTGCCTCTAGTTTGACGTAGTCGCCACAAATTGAAACCCGTTTTTAGTCAGTAGTTAGTGTCTACTATATTCTTTTCCTAGAGAAGAGCTCATAATTTCGGCCTGCTGCTTTGTACTAGTTAGTAGTAAAGTGAAAATAGAAAGGAGATAATACTTGATCCTTACCATAATTTAATTTCATACTGCTGTGAAATAGATACTCAAATACAATTGTTATTATATGTAATAAAGCTTGTTGTACCAAGTAGATTTGCAATTGCAATACAAAGACATGTTATTTGGTTGTAAATTTCAAACTTTTATACTCCAGTGTGTAACCACAAAAAAGTATGTCCTCCTTTTGTTTTCTATGTATTTGTATATTAAAACATTGTCCTTTAATCACCTTTTTTCCTATTGGATTACCCCTTTATGTGGGGTTGACTTATTTTGAACTTTTCTGTTGACCTTTGTTGGTTGCACTTGCATGGATGGATTGTTATAAATAAACTTCACTCAAAAGCTAACTAGTTATTGGCCTCACAATCATTCTCTCAAGTTCCACTCGTTGCCAAAAAAAGAATAATAATCATACCTAAAAAACAAGCAAGCAAAAGGCCAAGAGGGTTAGGATAGATTGGTACATGTCAAACATCTTGCCTTCACTTCCTCTTTTATGTCTTTACATACACACAATTTTTGTTGGAAACAACCAAAGCTTTGTATATAAGATGAAATAACTTAGGCCCATTTCAAGGGTTTTCATCATACACAATCATAATGACTTCCAATATGATTTAGCATTTTCAACTTTCTATGAGTTAAACTTTGTGCATATATTGTTTTGTGTGACATTGAAAGCCACAAAGTACTTATAATTTTGTGTTTTAAGTAATGAGTTTTTGGTCTCACTCAACTCACATGTGCTATGTTAGTAATAAGCATGCACTTGTGAGATATGATTATGATGTTCAGTGGTTACCAGCTGATTAAGCAATGAAATAGTAAATTATTATTATACAAGAAACAAACACAAAGATCGAAGAGCAACATAGTTAGACAGGACAAAACCTCTATTGTATTTTATGTTATTCTATTCATTTTATGTACTAAGTTTCAGAAGTTGGATTCTATCTTAAGGTTTCAAACTACAATGCTAGAAGAGCCATGTGGAAGTAAACTAATTAAAAAGAGGAAATTGCCATTTAAAATGAAACCTCACTACTATGGAATGTCTTGGAAGTCAAGGTTTACTTCATTTGCAGCTTTTGAGTTTTGACTTGTGTGTTATTATTCTGATTGTAAAGGTTTGTAGTAAAGATGGAAGTAGAAAAGTTTTATATTCAAGAGTGGTTGAAAATGATGGTATGTCTTTGATTTCCACTTGTTAGTGGATATAAAACACATGTATGATATTTTCTTTTACTTTTTAATTTATAGCGGCAAGATGTCAATTATCATGTTTCTTTAATCAATTAGCATAAAGCAAAATATAAAGACAATTCGGTAAAAGCTTAAATAGTAGTAGTATTTTATAAGAATCTTGAAATTTCATTTTCACAACATTTTCTAACAAAATCAAATTATTAATGGACATGATTTCTAGGGCCAGTGTGCTAGTTTTTTATTCTCTTGTCAGACATATTGCAAATAGTTATTACTAGAAAGAATATCATCCTCACAGCTTCGACCTCGTGAAGTTGATTATGTGACTGATCATCAATTCAACTTATTTTTATGTTTTTGTATTAAAGATATAGTTAGATTAGTTAATTGTTGATAATCAATTCAACCTATTCTTAAGTCTTTATATTAGATAAGTATGTAATTAGATTAGTCAATTGCTCGTAATCTAACTACATAGTTATTTAGTCAATTTAGTTTGTTGCTCTTACTAGTTATATAACTTTTGTACTCTTTCGTGTACTAATAACAATTTGCTAATTACTCAATATATATATTTTTATTCATTACTTCTATTATTCTCTATTATACTCGTGCGTATGTAAGGATAAATTTATTTAATTTGATATAAATTTTATTTAGATATATAGATAAATTTGAAATGATTTATTTAATTATAAAATAAATAAAAATAATATAAATTTAATTATATTAAATAATTATAAAAAAGAAAAAAATATTTATAAAATAAAGAAAAAAAACAGAATTTTCATATTTAAAAATAATAATTGTGTGTCTCAAATAAAAATAATTGTTAATTAGAATAAAATAGATATTTTGCTGATAGTGAGCAAGAAAAAAAAGAGAAATTTTAATATTTATCTCTCAAATAAAGACAATTGTGAATTAAAATAAAATAGTTATTTTGCTGAAAGTTTTCTGTGAGAAAAAGAGAAAATTTGATATAAAATAAGAATTTTGTGTATCAAATAAAGATAATTTTAATTAAATAAAATAAGAATTTTGTTGATAGTGTCTCGTGAGAATTTTTTTTTTGATATTTTCAAATAAAAATTGTGTCTCAAATAAAAATAATTATTAATTAAAATAAAATAGATAATTTGTTAATAGTGATATGTGAGAATTTTTTTTTTTTGATAATAGAAATAGGTATTGTAAAAATAATTGTTAATTAAAATAAAATAGATATTTTTCTGATAGTGATATGTGTAGGAGTGTTCAAAACCGAACCAGTTCAATAAAAAACTGCAAACTAAATCGCAAAAAATCGTATTTGATTTGGATATATTTGGTCACCTTTTAACAAAATTGTACGATTTAGTTCAGTTTGAAGTTTGTATTTTGCAAACCGAACAAAACCGAATCAACATGCATTATATTATAACCTAAATTTTATTTAACTCACATCCAACCCAGACCTAAATCTATTATACAATAACCTTATGATTACAAACAATTTCTCAATCTTACAGTTATGGTTTCAGCTTCAATCGCTTCAAATCTCTCTTAACATTATCACGTCTTCTTTGCCATATACATCTTGTCTTTTCTTTTATAATCTCTACTCTCACATATTCTTTCTTTTTCACCTTCTCATTTTTATGCAAATGTTTCATTTTTCAATTTCATTTTTATCGCACATTTTCTTCTGCAATCTCTCCTCTCTTATATTCTTTGCTTTTCATCTTCACTAATCTCCCATCTCTTCTATTTTTCGTTTTATTATAATATTTTTGGTATTATTTTATGCTATTATTTTATGTTTATTATTTCACTTTTGTCTAATCTAATTTTTATATATTAAATAGAAAGTTGTTCAAATATGATGAGTTTTATTCTTATTTGGTAGTGTATGAATGATTAAATACAAAGTTATATTGTCATCTATCTATATGTGTATGTAAGACTCAATAAAATATTTGTAAGAAATCAAACTAACTGAATCGAACCAAACCGTATTGGTTTGATTTGGTTTAGTTCAATTATTTTCTAAAAGTCAATCGGATCAAATCAAATCACACATTTTTTCTCTAGCCGTTCAGATGACTTTTAATGTCAAAACCGTCAAAACTGCACCGCGAACAATCCTAAATATGTAAGATGAAAAGTTAATTGTATGTATGACTATTTAGTATTATCTAATTTTATTAAATAAATTTTTAATTTTATTAATGTATAATATAGATTAATTAATATTTTTATTAATATTAAATAAATAGAATTAATTAAATTTGTCATAAAAAAGTAAATATTAATATTGTATATATTTATGCACTAATAAATATTTAATATGATAATTATATACTATAATTATATATTTTAATATATTAAAAATAATTAAGAGAAAATAAAATAATTAGGTAAAGAAGATAAAATAATAAAATAAAACGAGAAATAAATATAAAAGAAAAATTAATTTAATTTGAAAAAAAATAATTTAATTTGAAAGAAAAATGAAATGGTGTGTGAAAGAGTGAGAAATAGATAAAAAAGTGAAAGTTGAAAAAGTGTCAAATAGAAATTTGACACTCGGTAACATTTGGTTGAAGTATGATGAATTAATGGAGATATTATATTTTTACTATTTTAACCTTTTGTAAGTGTAAACAATTTTAAAGTGAAATATATTATTGGTAGTTTGATGATAGTTTGTTTCAATAGATAGATAGTTAAATAGATAGTTGATTGTAATATTGAATTAGAGTCAAAATCTGTTAGATCATATGCTTTCAAATTTTATTATTGAATCACCCACCATTCACCATTTATATATGCACACTAAATTCAATAGTTCTATGTATGATGAAGTATGTTAAGAGTCTATACTAAGATAATATATGATCATAATGTATGTTTTTAAGTGATGATAATCTCCATCTTACAAATCGATTTTATAAATATGAGTTACGCACAACTTTAACTTTTATTAGGGGTGACAAAATAGGCCATCAACCCCACCCCTCCTTAAGTCCACTAAAAAAAGAGAGAACGGATAAGCCCGTCAAATGAAAATGGAAATAAAAATCTAGTTTGCCCTACTAAAATAGCGGGTGACGGGAGAGGCAGACTTGCCCACTTACTTTTTTATTTATTTATTTTTATTTTTTTAATATATTAAAATACTTTTTTTTATATTTCAATTAGATTTTTCACTTATTTTTAGAATAATTTTTTATAAAACATTTTTTTAACAAAATTTACTTAAAAAATTATTATATATATTCACAAATAAATGTATAAAAAAAAACCATCAAAAATTTGATATACTAGAATTAACTAAAAAAGAACGGGTTTAAGGTGGAACAAACTGAACGAATAAGCGCGACGTACTTTGGCGTGCAATGGATTTTGGCTGGGGAGTTTTGACGTACGGTGGGTTTTGACAGGGCGGGTTTTGACGAAAAGAAGTCTTTAGTGGGCGAACTTTGGTGGGTGACATGTCCAAAATTCCAATCAATCCACCATTTTTTAGCGGATGAGTCGACCAGCCCGACGAGCCACGACCCGTTTTGCCACCCCTAACTTTTATAATTAAAAATAATAAAAATATAATTAAAATGAAATTCTTTCTTTAAACTTAATTAATATTATTCAAAAAAAATATTAAAAAAAAAAC